CAGTTAATTACTGGTTGTCAGCCGATTAGAAATGCAACCCTCCTGTCTCCAGATAGCTGAATGAAGGTGAGGCAAATGTCTCTGAGTATTTATTTTTTTTCTATTCCTTCAGTAGTTTACTTCCTTCAGTATCCAGATTAAGGAGGAGTGAATATTTTTTCTGATGCCTATAATATACACTGTGTAGAGTACGTACTGTATATATGCTGGTGAGTAATATACAGAGATTACTCTCTCAAATGACCTCTATTGGGCTGAACTGGAAATGGTGTTAGACACTGAATGGAGTCCCTATAGTGCGTGACTGACTCTTATTCTCTAATCTATATAATGGCACACACAGGTTAGATTAATATGGATGATGGATCCCAGCAGTGGTTGATGTTGGTAGGTTCTGACAACCTTTGGAGATGTCACTGATAAAATGTAAATCCTCATAACTTCACTTAATGTGATTGGTTGGGGTGGGTGGGGGTCGCTGCGCGTGCTCAGTCACTCCGTCGTTGCTTGACAAGCTGTTAGATGTTCGGTCTTTATATGTGACATGCCACCACACACACACACATGCATGAAACACAATACCACCCCATATGTACTCTGCCACCTACATGACACAATATAATATGATCACACAGATGATACACAATGATACTAGCTTTCAAAAAGAAAAAGTGTAATGATGCGATTACTCACTGTTCATCAGTCATATGTTTCCTATTGAGTTCTTGAGTTATTCTGAATTGAGTGATTCTGAACACAGGTTACCAGAAAGGCTCCAAAATAAGAAAATGTGAAATCCAAGGGAAGCAAATACTGTCTGAATGCATTTTATTATGTTTGACTATATGTTTGACTTGTGCTCATGTGTGAATGTTAGCTTGGGCTTCTAGATAAAATGATGTGTGGTGGCAATCGGTAAGGGCGTTTTGGTTATATCAGCGTTATTCCCCAGTATCATGTTCATTTTTTAAAATGATTTCAGGGTGTATCTAGGCCCTGGCAGCACAGGCACAGACAGTTTGATTTGCATTATCAGTATCAGTTAAGATTGAGACATCATCGCTCTGGGGTGTCCTGTAGCGATACTGCTAACAGCTCATTAGACTGATAAAGAGTAAGACTGAAGAAAAGTTGTCAGTTTAATATCATACACATACAGACGGATATCATCCAGGCACACACAGAAATTAGTTTGGGAAATATTTATCATAGTTTGCGAGTCTCTTGCACCATTCAGTCCAGCACATAATTAACTGGCAAATTCCAGAGCCATTAGTTATACAAGGTCACTAAGCAGAGAAACACTGATTAATCTTAGTGTATGTGTGAGAAACTGCATACAGCACCAAATCCGACACTGAAATAGGCAACTTGTAGTGTTAAAATTTGCAACTTAATTGTATTATTGTATTATATGCTTAACTGCTCATTAAACACATATTCTCTCTCTCTCTCCCTCTCTCTCTCTCTTTCTCTCTCTCTCTCGATCTTTTAAAAAAAAAAATTGTGTTTCAGTCTCTGAAAGACTCAACTCTGCGTGCATCTGTGTGGTTGATCTGTCACCATGAAGCATCAGTCTATTTCCCGATGGTTGAGTCAGCTGGGACTGCCACAGTACTGCACAGCACTGGAGCAGGAATATGATGGCGTAGAGGTAATACAAGTACACGTGCACACACAGCAGCACAACCCACATGTTTTTTAAGCAGCCGAGTTTTTAAATGACTCGTGAAGCTAAAACAACAAGCTTAGAGGAAAACCTCTTGAGGAAAATGATGTTTACTGGAAAGTAAACATCATTTTCTAGCGCTCAAGAAAAGGTTTTCTGTGGGTAGTTAACCTGCCAATGCTTTAGAAGTGTTTTAGTGTTGATTGTTAATCATTTTAACTATGGTATTCAGACATGGTATAAAAATGCCAAAAATGACTGAAATTGCTACCAATGAGAGCGCGGGATGCCGCTGATTAGAGCTCCAAATCGGTTACCTAGGCAACCAAATGGCAATCGGCTTCAAAGTGATGTGTGACAAGTGAATCCATTCCAGTATGAGCCAGCTTAAAGGACATATAATACTTTTATAATTTTTACGTATATATTTTTAATTTTGGTAGTTCTTGTCCTAAGGTGGGTGAAAAAACAAACAAACAAACAAACAAATCAAATACAAGAAGAACCACAAAAGGACACCACTGATGATTTGGATAAACATTTTGAACTACAGAGGACATTTTAAAAAAAAAATTAAAAACAGTTGTTTGAGCAGATAATGAGATTTGCATGATCATATATCAGATGTTGAGTTAATTTAAGTTGGAAGATCTGAAGCAAGACCTATACAGAGGGCACAACATCTTTGTTTCTCTAGAGAAAGTGACATGATTGATAGTAATAATATAAAAGGTGTTTTATTGTCCCCGTGAGCTGTAAGTGATAAATACATTGTAATTTGAATGAAGTGACCTTTTTAAGTAGTCACACAATGTTTGCATTCCAACAACTGAAATAGTGGTTGTTATTAAGGCAGTTTCCCACGACTGACTACTAAAGCAGCCTTATAAAACTTCATCACCGGCCTGAATGGACAGCGATGTGGAGGCTGTTCAGCCATTACCCAACTTCATGCTGAATGGTGCACAGCCTTTGGCTAGGGGACAAGATTCATGAGCCAATAAGACATGAATTATTGCGTTACCTCTAGCTAATGTTTACCCAGAATGCATCTGTGCATAGTGAAGGCATAATAGAGAAAATACAAGAAAGCTTATGCAAGAAAAGGCTATTCTAGTCATGTTTAAACAAAAGAGTGTAGATATAAGTTGTTACGTGAAATATTTTCTCAATATTAAAAAGATAAAATTCTGAGCGAAGATCTACATGTAGCTAATACTTTAGGATGTACACTGTGTATTTTTTTTTCAGTGTAAAGGAAAGTCTCTGTAAGGTCTGACATATATACTTAAGGTGATGGTGAGGAGTTGTTTGCACTTCTTGTTACACTGTAATTGCTGTTATGGGAGGATAAAACTAAGAACTATCCCCTACCTCTTTCTTGACCATCCTCCATTCATAATGAAGTCAGTGCAGTGTTGCTAACCCTCCTATTCATATTAGAACAACAACATGAGGTTCAGTGCCTCTGAGCCATCCATGCTTGTGAAAACAAAACCAACT